AACATTGAACAGACATAAAATGGAGTTGTCTCCCCTTACCTGATCACTGAGATAATATTTCTCTTTTTGGCTATTCGATTTCATTATACATGTCCATGTAACACTATATTAAGAAAAGAGCCCCATTTCTAATTTTCATGTGGTAGTACAGTGCTGTTGATTTTGAGTAACTTTGAAAAAATCAGTATGTCATTTTCATTTAAAAATGAATAATTTTAGGTAAAGCATAAGTCTCCAGCAGTTTCTTGTGCAACGAATAGATTACAACTGATGTTTCATTTAATTATTAGAAAAGGTTGGGAAATTTAGGAATTATTTCTGGTTCAATGTCTTCTGAGTTACAATAGGGTCTAGAGATGAAATTGGAAAGCATCTAAGCTGATTGTAACGAATTGTAAAAGTGTATTAAGCTGGATTTAAACTCTATTAGGTGATTGTTACATGTGGATTATAATTAACTCAACAAGAATGGACTTAACATGTAATAGTTGATATCAAGCAATGCAACTCTCCACAATCCATTCAAAGTCAATTCTCCTATCTAATAATCTTGTTCCAATTGTCAACTGAACATACCATTAACTTTCTAACACATAAAATGGAGAGAAATGATTTGGAAAATCTTGTCTGAAACTCATTTCTACCTGATTTATTTCAATTTTGGAAAAGATAACAAGATTAGCCCCCTTTGATAGAAATTCACATTAACAATGATCTGAGGTCATTAAAGAGTTTTTCTCAAGGGTTATCATTGGTTGCTAAGCAACAGAAATGGGCCCCCAAGAGCTGAAAGTAAAGAATCCCTTCTGGGGGTTTAGAATGGCTGCCACACTTCTGCTAATGAGATTTTAAGGCAGTGATTTAGAATGTAATCTGCCTCATACTTTTATGATCTGACAAGAAATTATATCTTAAATTGATTTACAATATCTTAAAGTGAGATAATCATCTTTTTAATTATGTGGGATATATTTTTTATAAAGTTGCAACTTATTTGGCTGTCTGCTAGCCACTTGCCACTTATTAAAGCTTCAAAATATTAATAAGAAGGGATTTACTTGGTCAATTAAACAGAAAAAACCCATTGGCCATTTGCATGTCATACTCCAAAATTCAAGTGGCCATGTGACATCTATGTCATTACCTATATCCTACACAATCTTCTTATGATTTCGAGACCAAGTAGGTCTTAAGTTTTAAGTTTCATACTCTTTTGATATGATTTGACACAAATCCTTGAATTTAATTAAAAATGTCTTCAAGTTTCAAGACAAGATCCACTAATGCCGAAATCTGTGTTTGTTTTCATAGAAAAGTTAGCCATGTGTTGAAGCCTAAGGCTGCCTTTGATCCAACTCTGTTTTCTATTAAATTTGTTGATTTAAAACTTTCTCTGATTGAACAGATATAAAGTCTGACACAGAGAAAAATTTCTAATATTTTCAATATGCTTTCAATTGAGTTGATGTTATTCCTTTTAGTGACTGTTTCCTGATATATAAATGGTAGCTACTAGCAGAAATAAATAGAAGTTTAAAAACTTGAAAATGCTTTGAAGAAAAATCCTAAGTGTAGGAATATATAAATAAACAATTTTTACCTCCATGTTGTGACTGTACCATGTTGTTAGAAATTATCCTCAATTTTTTTTCAGAGCAGTGTTGAACGCTTAAAGGACAAGCTGCGTCTGATAGTATACTAGACACACGTCTGCTCACATCAGGCACAAGCTAGGCTCACGATTGGCCTATACCTCATTTACTTTCTATTTTGTTTAATGAGATTTTAATTTTAAAATTGATTTAGAAGTCTCGATTATAAAATGCAAACTGCAATTAAGGATCACAGTTTGGTTGTGACCAATTTAGTGGACTGGTGAAGATACTTTGATGAGCGTCTCAGTGTTGATAATTAGGGAGGTTTGTGCAATGTTTGGTTAATTAGGCTCCAAAATTGCTACCTTACCCAACATTTAGCTACCTTGGATGGCAGTTAGTAGCAATTTAACTCTGCAGCTTGGTCAGGGATCTTGTCACAATTAAGCTAATTATCCAACTAAATTATATACATAGTGAGCTAACTTGGTCAGAATTTGTCCAATATTAGCCAAGTTATTGTTTCTAAGTCACATGGGGGCTGGTGAGAGGCTAGTAGGAGTTTAGTCTACATCATCACCTCTGGTAAAACTGCTCGGAATTATTTGTCACAGTATACATGTAAGTCTGAGACTCAGTAGGTGAAGGACAAATTGTAGCTGAAGGCACAGGTAATTGTCTCAAAGCATTGAAAACCTTTGGGTAACTGTCATAAACTTCACATGTGGACAATAGAAATATCTACAGGCTCTTTATATGGTTATAGGAGACTTGGAGCCCTAAAACTGTCTTCAGGGTAGACATCAAATAGAGGATTTTAAGCGAGGTAAACACTCTAGGTGTGACCTTTTGATAGAAATATCTAATTATTGTTAAATTTTTCACACTGTAGCCATTTGATATCAAAATCTAATTTTAAATGAAATACTCATGTCAATTTAGAGTTACTTGGTCTTGAAAAGGGAAATTTTGCTACTATTGTCCAAAATCTTGGATATTAAAAATGGTCAAGGTTTTTTCTTTTTTAAAAAAGATTTGGAGATAAATAAACCCATTGACATTTTCAGTACCTTAGTTCAGAATGAAACTTACAAGTTTTTTTTAATACCCAATTCTCCTCCTGTTTGGTTTAAATGCGAAAGTAAAATGGTAGTTACAATACAACTTACATAGATCAGCTGATAAGAAAAACCATAAATTTCAAGATGGATTTTAGTGTCTGAAACTTGATATTATCTTTGCTACACATCTGATAATCAGCCTACCTTATCACACTTTCAATACAGGGTGGCATGTTCCCCTTTTATACTCATGAAGTTTCATACGGCCCACCTTACATCCTGATCTGATACTGTCTAGCTGTTATGAAATAACCCTATGCTGACATTTATTAATTTGCATAAATTAGTTTTGAAATGTTGGTACGCATTGTCCTAATGTTAGACATATAATTAAAAAAATTTAAGTTTTGGGCAGTAGACATTTTACAGCAGAATATTTTTCGTAAATATGGCAGACGCTGAAGGAGTTAACAAGGGTTTCAAACAGAAGGTTCCCTGTGTTGTTGTTTTTTTTGTTGTTTTGGTTCAGTAATTATTCTTAAGATCAAATTTGTCATTTATTTTCCCCTACTGAGCCACTAATTTTTTTATGTGAAATTTAATTGAAGGCAATTTGAAGGTAAACATAAAAGTGGTACTTATTTGCTTTTTTTAGGGGCCTTTGAGTGAGGATAATTGTAATGGGGCTAGTGTCATTTAGTTTTGCTAAAAGGTTAAGAAAATAAAAGGGACTGCTTATTGTTATGGTTGCCTTGCTTCATCTATTTAAACAATACCTGGAGAGGGAATATGGAGGAATGTGAGGGCAGGTGGCTCTGCTGTCTCTGACATCAATTGCTACCATAATATACAGGTGTAAAGATACACTTGAATTATTCCCTATAAGTTTATACAACTTTTGAATTCACTGTCATCATTTATGGTTCTTTTTCTGTTGTATGTTTAAACTCCTATCTGAACTCGTATTATCCCCAAACTCTTTGCAGTGTATGTTTTTTTCTTTGGGTAGATGTACATGTAATTTTGCTATTGTGATTCCCAAGGTCGGCATGAAGAAGTCTTTTGAAATAATTAATGATATAGATATATGGATGTGTACACCTGAGTGGGTTTACTTATGTGCTGTAGAGTGTACTGATAAGTTGCATTGTTCCTCTAGTTTTTTCTGCACAAATTACCTGTTTCTGTATTCAAGTGGGGTGATTATTGTATTAAATCTGCCCTAACAATATTAATATCTTTTTTTTATGATTTTTTGAAATTTATCACTGAAGTGTGAAATTAATGACATGCTTTTCAAGCCCAAGAATAAAGGACGCATTTTTATATGAAAAAATAATGATCAAAGTTCAAGCCAAGCTTAGCACCCAACTGTGAGGGACATGTATTTTAGTCTATTTTTATTAGCTTGGGAAAAAAAATGTTTTTTCCGCCCCTATAACAGCTTGTGGGGTACTTTTGTCAGATTAATTTTCTCAGTTATCATTGGGTATTTAGAAACTTTACACTTGAAGCTAAACCGCAAAAGAGAGGTGACTTTTTTGACGTAAGCCTGGTGATGATGTGGTTATGGTGTGGTGTATGGGATTAAAGGGGAATGAATAGTAGAGTGGTCAGTGTGGAAATGTGTATTAATCTCACAGTTGGATACAGTGGTCACTCAAAGAGGCCTCCATCACATAATCTTGGTCATCTGACACTTGAGGTGTTGATATTTTATAGTAACTGCTAAATCAATTTACAAGATGGAAAATTCTCATCAGAAAATTCATCCATTTCTCAGGGGGTTTAGCCATTGCAGTTTGAACTTGTTAAAATTTGAATGTTGAGATATATCATATTTACTGAATCCCGTATTGAAATAAAATTATTTTTGACAGTATAATATAAGTGTATTAAATAAGTTAAGATAAATCCATTTGTGTATAAATGTTGGCATGCAGTAATTAATAAAATTAATGTTTTAATGAGAAAGATAAATGTTATTGTGTATACATGCTGGAATGCAATAATAAAGGTTTAAATGATATAATAGGAATATTTCAGTTGTGTTTAATGTTGGCACCCACTAATACACGACAAGCTATGATATTTACTGTATAGTGATGCATCTAAAAGCTTAAGTTGTCAAGTGAACTTGGTTAAAGAAAAGATGTCAGTGACATCATTGTTATTAATATATATTTAATTTGCGTATAATATATTTAATTGTGGTGTATGATTGCCTTAAGGGTACATTATATAATTAGATGTCAAATGCATAAGTGGCATATCATATTAGTAGTTGACAGTTGACTGAATATAGTATTTAATTAGTATAATGAATAGTGATGGTATAACTTACTTGTTGAAGAGGGTACAACTGAATCCAAAATCATCTTTATAACTGACAGTCCTCAATAAAACTCAAGCTCATGTCCACTAGTGAAACTCTTCTGAATTTTCAGATCTAGTGGACATACACCATGTACAACATATAAATACTGTCTAGCATTATCACTGTAAAAACACCTCAATCTACATTCACTTCCTGTGGGAGGTCACAAACAGGGTCAGACCAGATTCAAATTTGGTGACCATTTACAGATATCATCCAACAGTTTTTCTTTCCCAATTAATCCATGTGTTGTTACAGCAAGCTCCACAGTTGTATTAGTCCAGCAATCTAGTTATGGATGGTATATGATAAGTTTAAAAGTCCTTTCTAGACCAATCTAGACCCCTTTCTACTCCTATCTACACAAAGAAAACGTAGCTTTTACACTAACCCTTTGCCTGAGTCTGTCTATAGGGAACTCATAATGTAAACAAGCCATTGTGTTCATAGTATCCGTCTTCAAATCTATAGTCCATCATCAATAGGAGGCAGGGCCTGTCACAAATACTCCCTTCTGATTGGCTGTACAGTTAGGAGATATTTTTATCTAGATTTGGTTGGCTGAACTTGAAAATTATGACCATCAGACTAAAGTGTGCCTTCAGAGAGTTAGATGTTAACACAGGGAATCACCCAAGGTGTTCCCCTTACTCCATACTTATTAAGGGTTTATACAGAAATATTCACCCCTTGTCATTATTACTAGCCCCTATGCCCCCAGCTGTTATACAGCTCAAGGGAAGGATAGGGAGTAGAAATGACCTTATTATGTGATTTTTTGCTTGATAAAAAATAAGGGTTGAGGTCCTAAGTTGTAAATCCTTTACAAGGTGACAAAATAATGAGGCAGTAAATATAATCCTATCACCGACTAGCAAGTCCGATTTAGTAGTAAAATCATCTAATCTATTCAATAGTACAGATCATTGAATTACATTTATAGACACCCCAATTGATCCACCCAACAAATTCCATGATTTAAAACTTTTATACAAGTGTGATCTGGTCAGATTGATTTATAAACATGGAGAAGAAGGGGGTATCCTCAGGGGTGATGCAACCCCCCACATTTGTAGGCTTAACCTGTTGCCCAATTTCTTTTGTTTAGACTCTTAATGTGGTCATAAAATGAGAAAAGGGAAAATTCTTATGCAAAAGGAATACAGAGAATTTTTTTTTAGTATGTTTTTGATACAGGGTATTGGTAAACTTTGATTGCAAGGAAACACATTAGTGTCAGCTATGTTCAGATGCTTCACATCAAGTTCCTGATTCAAAATAAAAGACGACCAGACATTCATATAGTATGATAGAAGAAGATAATAATTTTACACCATTTATGTCCTTGTAGCAATCTATTAAATATATTTCAAAATGAATCTTTCACAATTCTGTGTAGTTCGATATGTTAAACTCTATGGAATAAAATTATTTGAAAATAAATCTTTCACAATTGTGAGCTATAATGGACAACCAGATTGTGATCATAAATGTTATATTTGTTGTTATGCACTCTCTATTAGACTATAAGCTGTATTTTTGTTTTCAACCATATCGTTTTAGTAGGTTATATGGTGTAAAATATTTACTTAAAACCAGCCATTTAAAACTAAACACATTTTCTCGCTTGTTATGTAAGAATGAAATAGTCTGCATTTTTTGAAAGAATAGAGAAACAGAGGTGTCTGGCACAGAAGTTATAAAATTTTATGCAGTGTCTTTATAGACTGATTTTTGTAGTTATAAATTTTATTACTTTAGACTGTAAAAACAGATGTAAGTTTTACTGTCATCAATTAACTCATTAAACTTCCCCTCCCACCAACTGAAACTGTCCTAAAAGAGACTTGAATGAAGCACACACACCATCTTCCTATGAGAATTATACGATCAGAGAATTAACATTGGAAATATCTACAAGATTTGCACCCCCCCTCCCTGTACTGTATTGAAAACTATCAATGCTTTAATTGTGGATAGAGTATTTTAGTTTGAACAGATAGATATGGAGGTGTTCCTGACTCATAACCCAAACTTCAAAGTAATTAATTTAACCAAGCTATTGATTAGGTTTATTAAAACGATAAATCTGATCAACTTTTCTCACAACAAGGTTAAGAAAAGGTGTGAGGAAGAAAAGCTAGTATAAATTTTTGAGATCAAGGTGATTAGTTTGTTGATTGAGCTAGAGGTCAAATTTGTCTCAAGTTGAGACTTCAATGTCATCCCTCTTCAAGCTTTTAATGATTAATAAGCTGCATCATCAGTTTGAGTGAGGGGTGTTAGAGAAAGTTGATTCTCTTTGTGGTTTATTCATAAATCTACAGTTTATAGTTTCCCTTAATTGTCCACAAGATTTTATGTTTCTATGTAATATTGTTGTCTTATGAAATTATCAATCAATAGCAATTTTTGTTATAACTTTTATTTGGTTTGAAATACTGTATGTGTCATGATATGTAAGAAATGATGATATATTTCTATTGTACTTTATTTCCTCAAACATTTCTATGTTTTGGAAGTTTTAAATAGCAAAACATATCCATTCTGATTGTCTATTTTAATTCATTTTACAAACTCAAAAAATAATATTGTAATTAAAAGAAATATAGTAAGTTTGTATCATTTATGTCATCTAACTTTCTTAAACAGATACTATAAACCGTATACTTTCTTACTACTTTAATCATCATTAAAAAAGTGTAAAATGTTTGACGAGGGGTTAAGAGCTCAAGCTGATATTGTTGTGGTAATAATTTACAAGTTATAAAATTCCATTCAGCGAAGTTAAGATCAAGCTAATCATTGTTAAAGCCTTGAGTAAGAAGGTCAATAAAAACAAATGTAGTGGAAATACTTCAAAAAGTTAAGTCTAACTTTTACTTTTCAATCTGGTCATAAAATTAAAACACCAATTACCTGTGTATATGTCCCTCTTGTTAGAGTTAACCTTTTAAGTGTATAAAGTAAGTGTTAGGAAGGATTCATGCACCATAAACCTAGATAATGTGCTGGGAAACCAACTTCTCTGGGAAACAGGAAATACACCATGAACATTGTTTCTTGTATCTATGCAATTTTTACTTTATTTCTCTTTTCATTTTATCTTGTAAATAGAAACATGCTCTTTAAAGTTTATGTTTAATTGTATTTAGTGTAAAAGATTCATTATTGGGAGCAGAGTAGCACCTTTTGAAATCTCCATCTAAATCCCTTTGGCTACTTAAAGGATTTTTTTTTTCTGTACAAGATAAGTTTTGTTTCTCATTGATTTCCCAGATGTGTACACTTTTGAAATTGTGTATTTTGGAAAAAGTTCTGATAACTGAATCATTTCTAAATTAAAGCAGTGTGCTTGAAAGTATATAATTGAAAATGTCTGAAATGCTTTAAACCTGACAATTAAAAAAATAATAGTAGTGAATGATACTAAAAAAAGAATGACTTAGAACAACTAAGCTTCATGTTGGCTAGACATGGTTTAGCCCCATTAATCAATTTACCTGAATATAAATGAAGAAATTGAAAAATCCACACCTTGACACTAAAAGGGGAAGAATATATGATAAAGTAGATCCTTTGTACTGTACTTAAATCTGTGTTATATTGTAATTAGTAATAAGATTAAATACTTTTAGTGCTAAAACCTGATTTTCTCTTGACATGTATAGTTCTCTATCTTTAAAAACCCATCTCAATATAGCAACAAGATAAGAACTTAATGTCTAATCAGATTATACATCTACAAAAGTGTCTTAAATGGATTAGCTTTCATTTTATTTTTATCATATTGTCATTAATAAACAGGTAATATTTAGTGAAGTCATTAAGATAGAGGGGAAAGAAAATTGGCCTAAATAGTGACCCTTGTGTTATTCCATTATCCTTGGCATGATGGCCTTTTAGGAATACTGTTTCTGTATAACTGATTATATTGTGTCAGTTTCCAATTATGAAAGACAACATATTATGTAATTCCTGAATATACATTTATTGAATTAAAATTTGGTAATTCTGTGAAGAATTTTGAATAATATCCTATAAGGGGAATTTTAAAACTGAAAGGTTATTGTCATATGAATAAATAAGCATATTCACCTTTAAAATTGTATGTTAAAGTTATGCAATTGACTTAGAAGCATGGTGACTGTCACTTATATCTGGTATTTGGTATTATTTCTACATTTTGTTGACAAATTTATTTCGTTTTAAACGAATTCTGCATATTCATTTCTTATTTATATGGATTTGTAGTCTCATAGTAAGCTAAAGTCGTACCATCACGTGCGCACTGTATCATAAGGTCTGTCATTGAGTCAACTGACGTGGTTTCGATTTCACGGTTGTATGTGGCAAGAAGTAGGGTCGTCTGTCCAACCTCATGGGTTTTCTGCGGGTCCTCCAGTTTTCCTCCCACTGCCAAAAATCCCTACGGCGCACAAGCGAATTATTGACAACAAATGAACCATATGTTTGTCCCAAAATGACCTAAGTTGTGTCAAGTGTACATTAAACACAATATCTCTCTCTCTTTCTCTCTCTTGACACTTTTTAATGAATCCACTAATACTATCATTCACATGGATTTGTATATGTTTCAGTTAGAAGAAGCTGAGTGGATTGGGTTACCTGCTGGTGAAGCTGTGACTAAAGCACGAGAAATACATGCAGAAGAAAATCCAACCATTCCATTGAAAGAATATTTCATTGATGAACTCTCAGAGAAATTTAAAGGTATGAAGAGTCAAGTTTTCATGTAAAATATGAATCTAATATTTGTCTGGTGCTCATTATAATAACCAAGGTGTATTGGTGTTGTGGAAAGTAAAAGTTAAGTGGTTTTGTGGCATGTTAGCACTGGAGCTATGTCAATACAAAGAACAGGTGGTATTTATTTAATTCTGTAGTCAGAGCATGTACCACGCCAACTGAACACATATCATCAAATTTTGACTTGTTAATATATATATATTTAAATCCATTTTAATGAGAATAAATCTTTACTTTAACTTGATAAATAAAATCCCATCTTCATTACATCTGGACTTTCACTTTTTTCACCTAAAATGCATTTGTGTCAAATAGATTATTGGGAAATCAAAATTTTGTAAGGGTATGTGAGCTAACATTACTAAATATATTTTCAATTTTACGAGAGAAGTTGAACTACCATGAAAAAAAGTTTTGTTCTGTATCTCTTCAAGAGAACTATGACTAACAGTATTGTTATCGTATGTCACTGTTAGCCATGTTAATTTCTTTCTAATTAACATGGTTCTGTTATACCACAGTGGATTGTGTTTTATTATCATATACCACTGGTTCAGGTGCAAACTAGATGTCAAATGTGGTTTATATGTAGTCTTTACCTGACATGTCAAATAGTGGTTTAATTTTTATAACCACTACATCTGGTTAAGAAATGAAGTGGGGTTTAAGAACCTACTGTTCTGCTCCTGCGATCATATGCCAGACAGTGTGCTATGAGGGAGATTTTACCCCGGATAGCGGTGCTACGGGCGGCTCTTATATCAAATTCCAACTGCCAAGGGATCTTTTACATGTACGCCAATTGGTAGCAGGATCTTAGTTTTTCATCACATCGGAATGACTAGACTGCTTTTGTTGTCAGGCACTCCTTCCTGCACCACTGACAAGGGGAAACCACATCGGAAAATCCTGATGAACTCTCTCGGCCAATGCAGGGATCGAAATGCAACCTCCAGGCTAGCAAACCAACAGCTTACCCACTTAGCTACCATGGCTTCCTCAAATCTGGTTAAGACGGTGATATTGTTATTGTATTTTATAACATCCATTGTATATTAATGCAAGGTTGTTTTTTTGTGTTTTTTCTAGAAACAAGCTTAGATGATGATTCTTCTGAAAGGTAAGTTCTTTAGAATGCACTCCAGAATTCTTTGCATAGGATATCAATGGAGTTAAATGTATTAAGAACACAATACTTCAGTCATTTTGATACTAACCTATGGTAGATTTTTTTTTCTATGGTCAAGTGTGTAGTGCTAGGGAATTTGTCCAGACAGTGGCATTTTAGCTACTCTTCATCAGATTGTAACCGTCATGATTTCAAAACCAGGTCATTGCATTTGAGGGTACAGTGCCTCTACGCTTGATTTCCATGTACCTGTCTTTACTTAGAAGTATCTGTGTGTGACATTAATAATGTGACTTAATTATGTCTGATAACATATAATGCAGTTTAATATTCTAATTTTATGCATGCAGCAGGCTAATGAAAACAGTAATTATTTCTGGTAATTAATACTTCAGATGGGCTCACAGATTTCTAATATTTGATACTTGACAAATATACAATTATAATTTTAATCGCACAAAGTGACAAAATTTAGCAAACTATGGGTCTGATTTAGATAGTATTATCATAAAAATTAGTCCTTTTTATAGTGAGTGAAAATGGATAAATACATGTGTAAAGCAAAAATCCATCTGGAACCAGTTTGTAAATTTGAAAGAATCACACAATCCTGTGATCTTTTTATCCCCTCAAGAGTTTAAATCTAATCTTGTTTATTTCTTACACAAGATAGATATAATGATATCTCAACAAATGTAAACCATATACCAAATGATTTGTGTTGGAATCTATCACATATATTTTTATAGGATTAGAAACTTTAGCTTAATCTCTTACTAGGGTATCAGAGTTCTCAAAGAAACAGTAATTGGATATTATCTGTCTAATGATTTAATGAATAGTGTACATATGGGACCAAAGAAGTTAGTTCAGGTTCTAGTTACAAAACGTGTTATATGGTAACCCAACAACATCTGGAATACCATTAAAGGGATTAATTTTGATTCTGGATGGCTTTCAATAATGTTTTCAGTCATGCAATTGGTAAAAATATCAAATGACAGATTACACACCTCTGCATTCCCTGTTGTACCTCTTGATCATAAATTAAATTAACACGTAAATAGAAACAATAAATGAGACAGGTGAAAATGGGATACCCTTGCGTGACACCTTTGCTATTGTTTTAAAAAAATGAATACGTACATGAGAACATGTCATTTGCTTGTTTTAATTTATCCCTCCCTATGTAACTTTTGTAATGAACTTTGAAATTTTTTGTCTTTTTCAGTCAATCCTGGATAAATAAACTGAACATATTCAGTAAATCAGATGAGGCGAAGAAATCCTGATACTAAGAAGAAATATGCAACAGTTTAGTGGTTTAGTTTTTTTAGAATTTAGACAATCAAATGTGTTGACATCATTTTCATGAAATATTGTATATGCAATGCCTTTGAAGTGAGATAGAAAGAACTATAAGATGACAGATTTGATTGATAATAGTCTAGTAGAAATTCAGTAAATGTTAAGACTGTACCAAGTTCAATATATCATCAATGATTTGTAATTTTTCCATGAAATAAATACATATTTTATAAGATTTTTGTGTATTCTTGAAAATATATAGCGTGTTAACAGCCAAATATGAAAATCCAATAGAAAGTCTTTTTAAAGTCTTCCTAATCACATTTTGTTTAGTCTTAAGGGACAACCCGGGCTATTCTTTTCAGTATTGCACTTCCAAAACTCGGAAAGGGGGTGGCAAAGGGTGAACCTTAGTCAGGCTGGAATATTTAAAGAGAGCTGTGGAACTTATTTGTGATGTAACAATTATAGTATTTTTTAAAATATTTAAATCCTGCAAATCTGTGCATCCAGGGGACAAATATTGACCATAAAATTTAGAGAAAAGATTGGGTTTTGATTTAAGTAAAGAATACAAATAACTTTTCAACTTTGGATGGATTAGATCGCATCAAGTTTCTTTTTACCAGGAGGGCATTTTACAACAACCTGATAATAGGAGATTATATATTTAAAACATCCGCTAATTTTAAATATATATGGCCGTTATCCCTGGTAGTTATGGAATTTAGTGTAATACTATAACCAACTGAAAGTGACAAATGATCTTCCCTCACCTGTTTTTTTTTTTAACACCTTTAAATCTAAAGGTAACCTTTATTATATACCATGAATTGAGTGAAAATTATCACTGTGGAGAATGTTTCTTGGAACATGATCTTTTATATTTATTATTGAGCTGCCCAACCTATAATTTGTAACAGGATTTGTTTTGTCAAAAGGATTCTTATTTAACCACCACAGAATTTGTACAAGTATATACATTCATTAAAGCCCTGAAGGGGTGGGGGAGGGAAAGATGTAGTTGTACATGTATGCTACCTCAGGTTACACAAAGAAATTCATTGGATACCTTTTCAAATTTTGAAAGTAAGGTATTTCATAGGAACATGCGAGCAGTTATTCTACTGGTTCAAAACTATATTTCAAAAAATTCTTTCAGTGTTGACTCTTTAAACTGTCCATTAAAATGAAGGCTACATGCCATAAATAAAAAATGACTGATTTGAAGGAAGTTGAGAGAAAGGACTAGTACAATATTTGCTTTACCCCACAATTACGATCATTAATCTTGTCGAAGGCCCCACTTCAAAAAATTCACTTCTCTCCTTCTTATTTTCAAAATTCCCACGGAAGTCCCTCGGGTTTTAAATAACATCTCAATATATTTTTCATTCAAGGGACCTGTTAAATTTGAAGGCATTAAAAACGGAAATTATTCGTCGATGATATAGAGCAATGTTTAAATAAGCCATTCTTTTCAGTTTGTTCCTCTTCATGTTAAAACATAGAAGTTTTCTTTACGCGAAAGCCCCATTATATCATATTTGATTAATTTAAAATTATAACTAAGATCTTTGATGAATATAAGATTGCTGTCCCGCTCTTTCAGAAAACACTAATCCGTATAAAACTTAGCTTATTGAACCCAAAGAACACCACTGTGGAATACAGTACAATTCGTTTTAATATTTAAAAAGGGGCAGCTTCGGGTCTTAATTTAAAGGAGCTTCTGATCTATTTTGAGAAACGGTTCAAATTAGGTTCCAAATTGGCGGTATGAAAAATATTCCCAAATCCTGTAATTATTTAAATATAATCTGGGTCCATCCTACAATCTGGTTTCTGGAACTGATAGATTTAAAAGCTCCTATATCCTGTCTATGTCTTCAAGTATAATTAATGAGAAAATTCCGTGGATTACGGGTCCCCTTTTGAAGCAGACGGTATTATAAATTATGCTTCTCTTATGGACCTTGTAAAGAGTCAAATGACCCGCGAAAATCTGTCTTCTGTCATCAATGCAAGATAATTTAGCCGTCTGCTTACAGGACGGAAGTTCATGGGGTCAAAAGTTGTCGCTCCTATCTTTAAGGCTGCAATGGTTCCTGATTTTGTTGGTCTCGGAGGGAGTTAGCTGAACCAACGAGGCACTTCTGTTTTCAGTGATATCACACATATGAAAGACATAGAGATTTATATAAAAATATACATTTTTTCTAAGTGGCTAAGCTGATCCATATATTTACATCGATTCCACATGGTTATTCACGATTTGCGAATAAAGTTTACATTCCAATATAAACAGTTATACATGGACGTTCATTATACCAACATGATGGCATACAACGGACCATTTATGATTGTAAATTGAACAATGTCATTTTCTTTAAAATCATATGTTCGCCCAAATATCTCGCGGGTTTGGCTTATTTTGTCGGGAAAAAAAACTGTTTTTGATACATTGGTTGGGATGGGAGATTTATGTGAATGATAATTTATTTATATTTTGTAATAAAATTTAAATGGCAATTTGTGATCTGTGATCATAATACGACCATCAGGGTTGCTGTCAAATAACGATGCCAACACTTGTATTAATCTTGTTAATCTCTATAATCGTTCTGATAATCGGCACCACGTTGGTTTTTACTACAGGGGTGAAAATCAGTTGATCGTGACAGGTGACGTGATGATGATTGGCATACACATTACTGTATTATCTTTATTTCATCACAACGATACCTTTAATTGGGCATGCAAATAGGTTTCACGATTTTTAAATGCTTTATGATAAAGCCTCAATATCACCGGTGCCTTTTATTATTCAAGTTTACGTTCAAAATCTCGAGGAATTTAAAGTCAGAGTCATTTGACGGCAGATAATATAATTATGGTTTTTAGTTTGATTATAGCTTGTAGAAAGGAATTTCAAGCAATTAATGACTTTTTCCAGTGACTGCTGTTATATTTATCTTTATAACATATAACATGCCTTGGTTTATTTCTTTTTTTTATTGCTCTCACTATTCTTGAAAGACGTTAATTCATTTCCCATATATACATTTCTAATTATTGGTTTAATTAGATTTATACATATCTATTGTTGCCAGAAGTAGAATATATTGGAATGTATGTATGTAAGAAACGTTGGAAGTGTTTAAAGAGAATAACTGATGTACGTTGACATGTTGAAGTATGCTTTACATTAATTAGAAATCGAGTTGAAGACGGTAAAAGTTAAAAACGATTGTATAATGTACTTGAAAACTTAAGATTAACACACTTCAATTCCATACAAATGGAAACAGCCCTTTATTTATTGAACAGGAGGTTGAAGAACAAGATGGGTGACACCTCTAATTATAAATGTCAGCCATTTCCATGTAGTAGTAAGGCAATAGTTTTAACAGCTGACAATATAACATGATGTTCGTTTTGAAAAGATATTCTCCTTTAAAACAATATCTCAGCCCACCTGATTATTATCTTGGCCTGGCAATGTTACTAATACAAAGGCTAGAGAATGGGGGATCAAAAGGCAAACCATGTGGCTTACCACAAAAATGACTAGTACTTTTAATAACAATTGAATTATTTTATGCTAATTTTAACAGAAATTTCTGGTGCTAATTTTAACAGAAATTTCTGGTGCTTATTTTAACAGAATTATCTATTAAGACCTATTGCTATTGAAAACGTGTTGTAAAATATTATTTAGTTTAATGGTTTCAAAACCTGAAGGGGAACTATAGAAATTTGGGTGATGAAGGCTAGTCGAAACGTCGCTTAATAAAAGGTAGTAATTGTATTCCAGTTCAATAATAAATGCCATTGAAAAAACAATTTATCAGACCTGTTCAGTAAGAGAAATGAAAATTCGTCAGATGCTATTATATTTTAGAACAGATGTGTTAGTATGTAAAGTAATGTATCTTCTTCACAGATTTGGGTTAATTGTTAGAAACACAGTCTAATACAAATATGTAATAGATGTTGACAAGTTTAATTATAAGACAATGGATACCGATTGATGCACAATACCGCCAACAAGCGAGATCGTACAGCAACATACACGTAACCATATGTTATTGTTAAGATTTATAACGAGATTTTAGAGTAATGTGTAAAAATGTATCACTTATATTAAAGTAGATGAAGGTGTCTTCCATAAAGTGTGATTAATGTTCAGTAAGATACGTATTTTATGCAAGGCGATGTTCACGATTGTTTGATCTTTGAAAAGAGGTCTTCGGTTCGGCGTGGGTTAACATTCCGAATAATATACTTTATTTTTTGAACGTTCATTATAAAATAAACAAAATAATTTACTAGAAATGTGATGTAGTCATATTTTCAGAAAAAAAATAATGCCATGTTTTCAATTTTAAGGGTGTGGAATTGAACCAAGTAATTTATCGATCAAGTGAAACTAAAACGATATTTAATGTAGCTAATTTTTTGATTATCCTGATAAAATTATCTATCTACCTGCCACAATTAACATCATGACATCATCATTAGCACCAAAATGTTGGAATTCCAACTGCGGTCAAGCCATAAGCGTCCGTTCATAAACAATATGAGATAGCTATCATAAACATTAATGGGGTTACTAGCGGATTTGAACTTGAACCCCCCCCCCCCCACACACACACACACACACACACACACACTACCCGATCCCACCCACCCCCATTCCCCGCAAACCGAACGAACTTTGATGAAAGCGGGGTCTAAGGAAATACGTCAGGACGTCTATCGCTAATAGTCATCAGAAATGTCACACTTAAAATCGGGAACTCCATATCAATATCAAATATATTTTTGGGAAACGAATATTTGCATAATATATATTAGCCTGATTTAATACAACTCCGTTATAATTAAAAATTCATCATTTATACCATTATTTACGCCTGTATAAGTTCAACATTCTGCCAACTGACCCCCCACCCCGACGTTCAGCGATATGACCAATTCTTGGAACGAATTATATATCAGTTAAATCTACCTTTATTTATTATCGATGTAAATATATGGGTTTGTCAATAATGACCATATAATTGTTCCAGAGAGATGTGAAGCACTGAGTAGCATCCATGAAATAATAATTAGTGTCAGACAACTATTAGCATTTATAAGGTCTCTAACTTTTTTATGGTTAATGAATTCAAACTGAATTTAAAAGAGAATTAAAACAAGAGAGGTACAAGAGTTGAGATGTAGACAAAC